TCAAACGGTCACGTTGGAGGACGGATCAGCTGTTGCCCTCCCATCAGGGCCAAGGTAGCTTTGATTTTGAAGGAGCCCCTGGGTGAATTGAGTACAGTACGAGACTGCTATCCTCGCTTGTGGAACCAGAAACCTCGCGCGAGTTTTTCTGGAACTAAGGACGACTTGTTTAATTCGCTTAATATTGCTGTGCCTCTCGAGGTTTTTAGGTGGAATCTTTATTTAACGGCCTAACGTTTCGACAGGGTCGTCTTCTTCAGAGGCCAGAACTCCACCGTGAATCCGCCGTCACATGCGGATGTTAGTCAGTAGCGAACTAACTAAACTAAACTAGATTTGCTACTGACTAACATCCGCATGTGACGGCGGATTCACGGTGGAGTTCTGGCCTCTGAAGAAGACGACCCTGTCGAAACGTTAGGCCGTTAAATAAAGATTCCACCTAAAAACCTCGAGAGGCACAGCAATATTAACGAATTAAACAACGATGCCGAGGTTACAGCAAGAGAGAAGCTGGAGCATATAAGGACCGACTGTTTTCACCAGCTTCAATTTGAAATGGGATGAATGAATGGAGGGGCGGAAAGGTTTTTGATAAGAATTTAAGTTTACTTTCATCATTCAATTGATTGGTTTTCACTTGCCGTATTCTGATGGATGCCCCTTACCTTGTTGTCCGTCGTTTTTTACGGTGTTTGAGTTTTGGCTATAGGCATTTTGGTGTTACTTCGGGATTACGTTCTACACTCTTTCTGAATAAGTTACTGTCTCCATTTCAACTTCAAGCTTCTGTTTATGAACTATTAGGATACACAAGGAAAGAGTTCTGTCCTGGTTTTGGGGCTGGGGTCTTATCTTGTTCTACACAAATTACAATCACATTGTTTAGAAACTGAATTCAACGATTCGCATCTTCACCTACGAAGTCGAAGTCAAAGCCCGAATCATATGTTTCTCAACCAGCAAAATGTCAGACCGATGCCGAGTTCAGCTAGCCATGAGCTGACGAAGGAGCTGCAGCGTCGACGGGTAGGTCATTTGAAACAGTGGCTTTTCTCATTTTTCAACGGTGATTGGTTTCTTTACCAGGGGTTATAGGGGTTGAAAGAGAATCACGGAAAGTTACTACTACAGTGCTGAATTACGGGCAGAACGTCTAATTCTATTAAGGACTTTAAGCCTTGGCAAGCGACAGTGGGCACGATTGCTCGGGGCGGGCGGTTACTTAAACGTCATTGGTGGAAGGGCTATTAAAGGGCGTTTGACAACACCTCTATCAGCCCCTCCACCAAGGACGTTGGCAGCAACCGCCCGCCCCCAGCCATCGTGCCCACTGTCTACAAGCTGGGAAGGTTCAAATGACCTTTTTGGTGCTATGGTTGTTATTTTTGCCCGATAAGCGTGAGCTACATGACTGAATCCTTCCTGAGGCCAAGACTTCTGCCCACACCTCGGCATTCTTATGATAACCAAGTCGTCACCGTCTCAATTATTAGCGCCATCTAAATTTCACCTTCTAGTCTTTCTTGGTTTCTGCAAAGTCACTGAGTATTTTATGCAGAGTACGTTCCTACCTTGCAGGATTCTGACATGTGTTGATGGTGGCGATGGCTAGTGGGCGGGACAGCGGCCTGGTCGCGAGCGGGTCGCGCTTTCCTCACATATTTAGGAGCTGCTAAATTAGTACATCCTCCATGCCTGCAGATGAGAATACCTTGTCCAAAGAAGTAGTTTGAACATCAAATGAACGCGGAGCGTGCGTTCAACAAAAGGAAATGCAACTTAATGCATCGGATAGATATCGATTGCTCCTACTTTTGGCCTCGTGCTGCTCCGTAGTTTCGTAAGGAAGACAATGCAGATATTCTCAGGCAGTTTCTATGCTGCCATTGGTTGATCCACCCAACAGCTGACTTTGAAAAGACCTGAACTGGTAACCGCAAACAGGGGCCATGCGACTACTGTCTTTGCCTTCAGCGATCGGCGGTGCCCCCATACACAGCTCAGAAATAGACAATTTTTCTCAGATCGTTTTTCCGCTTATTTTGGTTTTTCTCCAGCTTTGCATGTTGCTATTCGTTCCTTGTTTTCGGGGTGTGTCTGAGATCAATAGATCTTTGATGGCGATAAGTGAAGGGGAGAATATTGACCGTCGCATTAATGTCGCTTTCAATACTCCGTAGTTACCTTTCTGATGTTTATATGGAGCTTCATCTTGGCAACTTTAACTTTCCGCTCAGTCTTGGATCACTTGAAAGAATATTCTGGCGCAGTTAGGCTCGGTGGGGGAACGTACAGCGGGGCCTGTACAGGTCACCTTGTGAAAACCTGTAAGTTTTTGAATGGGTTACTTGTACCACGCAGTTTCACCAAAGTTTACAGGTTTCACCAAAATGTGACCTGTTAGTTAACATGAACAAGCAGAAGGAATTAGCAAGTAAATTGTCCCTCCCAAACCAAATAGCGTCTACATTTTCAATAGGTGTGCTTTAAACATCTGATTGACACGAAATCGACGGAATGCTTACTTGTATAGACAACTGTAGAGGACATCCATAGGATTTCTGCGTGTAGAACCTACGTTGATGGCCAACTTCGCGTTGATTTCGAAGTGCAGTTGAAAAAAGCTTACAATTTTCTAATTTTAAGTAGGGAATGTTGCAAGTGATACTAATTCCAGTAAGCACGCCCTAGTAAGTCCCTTTTGCCCCTGATTTATCATACGCAGAAGAGCCCAGAAGACAAAAGAGCTTCACTCCCGTGGTCCTCGCACCGTGACCCTAACAATGCAAAAGCCGTCCAAGAAAAATCCTCCCTGTTGATAGCCGTGGCGATCAAACGGTCACGTTGGAGGACGGATCAGCTGTTGCCCTCCCATCAGGGCCAAGG